TCAAAAGCGCTGGTTCCAACTTTTCCCGTGAAATTAGCAAATTCCTGAGGCGATAAGTTCATTGGTGGAGCATCCAATGATACAACAGTAATCGGCCATTCCATCGTAATCCTGGCGCTTGCTCAGACGGATGGGTGTCCTGTAACTGATATCGAGGTGTCTAGCTGCATAAGTCCAATCAGATTAAAAAAAAAGAGGAAGAAGAAGAAGAAAGGAACAAACAATATATCAGCCCAGGAATTCCTACTAAAGACATAAGATTATAAATATCACACATATGACAACTTTATTGGGTTTACATCGGAGCCTGTGCTGAGTAAGAACAGTTCAAACCTGATTTAAACGTTTCCAGCAAGTCATCCAGCGAGCGTGGGGATCTGTTGGATCTCTTAGCCATTGAGCAAGCCGTCCATACAAACTGGGGGAAAGCTGACCCGCAGTGCTTACTGCTCGAATCGGCTTGTACCATCGACAAACTCAGAGTGGCGATTACGAAAACAACGGCAGGTACCGAGGCGAGGATTAGGCGGTACTTGGATGTCATAATCTGCGACAAACACGTAAAATATGATCCAGGCAGAGCCACTCAAAGACATCAATTATTTAATTTGTAATTTATCTCACGGCAAAATGAATTAGAGTCGCAACAAGCTTGGGATTTACATAAAACTTTGAACGGATCCCGTACAGTTCTCTTCATGCAGTTCCAAAATAAAGATGTTCAGGGCAGTTTTTTTAGCCTGAGTAGCGTGATTACTTGTACACCGCCACGTGAATAATTTTTGCAAGAAAAGGTAGAAGATCAATTTGAGATAATTATCATTGCTTATGGAATTAATTTGCCCTGCATCATGTTGTTTAAGTGAACATGATGATAACTCAGAGTCCATGATCAAATGGGTACCGTAGTCATATCGTAATCATATTTATTTATTAAAACCTACCTTGTTTGAAAAAATTAAAAACACGAATTATATATATGTTGAATAGAAAAGATGAATTGCCAGAATATCCTATTTCCAATGATAAAGATCGTCATGTCGCACTATCCCGCTACGTTAAAAAAAGATTCAAACTTCGAATTAGATTTGAATAGACAAGATGAATTTCCCGAATATTCAATTGTTTTAAAAGATCGTCATGTTGCATTATGTGCAGAGTAAACTGTTCCTTAAAAGAAACTGAACATATGCAAACGAATACGGTAAATCTTTACGTTTCCTGGAAATGAAGGATAGAGCACATTATCCTTAAAATTAATACGGAAATGGGCACAAACATCGGCGTATCCAGGTCCTGGGTCCAAGAGGACAAAATCGAATTATTTTTTTACCCGTAAGGGATCCTAATGTTACCCAGTCCCCTGTAGTATGCCACTGTATGTAAACGTGTATTAACAATTTCCAAACAATTGCTCTGGAATATACATAATATAGGTTGTTCAACAGCGAGCAACCTGACAATTGTCGCATTCTGAGACTGCGTATTAAGCCTCATCAATGTCTGCTCATATCCGTGCATGAAAAACCAACTTATCTAATTACGAATATAATAACGAATCTATTCTTATCTTTGCTACACGCAACAACTGCAGAAACTGAAAAGTTGATTACTTACGTCTCTTTGGGATGCTTGCAAAGTTTACGACGGAGAAGTTGCAGCGAGCCTGTCTTGGACGACAATTTTTGTTGATCACTTCAGTTGTTAGGACTTCTGCTAAAATGCTCGCCAGACAAGTAATCGAATCAGTGATTATTCCCAGAGGAGTGTGGGTGTTTTATAGAATTCAGTGTGTCATTAATTATTCCACGTTGATTGCAAGTGACCAGCTGGTATTAAATGGATTCCCCGGTCTAAGCTTTGCTGGCGGCAGTCTCTAAACACATCACTGGAAACATCAAGCTACATCATAATCACCAATTATCGTGAGTACAACACGTCATGGGTATAGATAATGAAAATTTAATTCTTATTTGATGTAGCCATCACCTTTGTTGGCCTCATCACCGTTACTGGCCTCTTAAAGTGCTCCAAAAAGAATTTTTTGAGAAAATCTCCAGAGCAGTGTTCCGTAGCTCCAAGCGTAAGTCGTTTTGTAGATCGAATTTTGTACTTCAATTTGAGAATTGGCGTCACCCGACACACTAACAATTGGTTCGACTGAATTAGTACAAGCTTTGAATTATGTTTTAAAATGGCCTCGACACTACTTGATATATTCACTTATTTTATACTTCCTTGACTCGATTCGGTCTAACGGGTTTTAATCTTCTCATGGGAAAGCTAGTTTTATTTAACGTAGTATGCAGGGATCAATGCGTGCAAATTATTCAGAACGTTTAGCCGAACCGCGTGAACCTGTCAGAAGATGAAATTGAGTGACTTATTAGAACACAACACGATTGACGTCAATAAAGAGATCTAATTTTACAAAGCGAAGGAGTAAACAAGAAGTCATAATATATCGACACCTGCCCTTTTTTTCCTTTCAAAGAGACCGAGGGAATCGCACGCTTGCTATCTTATTGCAGAATCGGATATGCTGAGACACCACTAACAGGTGTACTATACAAGCTGAAGAGCATAAAGAGCCATAATCGTGAATGATCAAGTTGATTCATACTCAAAACGTCATCCTTTCCGTTTGTGTGAACAAACAGATAAGGTGCAAGCCAATTACTTCTCCCGATGTTCTTCTCACGATTTTTCTTTAATTTTAAATACAGCGGTTAGTGACGACTAGAGATGGCCATTAAGCACATAGAAGGTGAATTTAAATAAGGCTCAAGGCTTAAAGCGAAATTGACCTTTTGGATCTTCATGTTTTCATGTTGAGAAAGGGAAAGGTAGGTAGGGGGTCAGAAATGGTGGCAAGTGGAATTTGGGATTAGAGAGGTGGGGTTGGATTTGATGGTGAGTGAACGGGGGAGGGGTTGAATGAGTGTAATAGAATTTGGTTGAGTAGGGCTAAGTGGGAATCACTGTGCATGGGAGTGCTGTAAACCTCAATCTAAATGCATATAAAAGAGGGTTTATAGGATATAAGCGTTCTATACGCTGGACAATTACTATTTGTTTCCTGATTTTATTTTTGTTTTTCTCCAGGTGATTCTGAAGGCCAAACACTCCCTTGGCAGGGAAAAGATGCCATTATACCGACCGAACTGTCATCAATCATACACCCACATATACTGTCACCTAATCGCCAGAGTTCATACTTTCGTGATTTTGAGAGTTAAAGAAAATGTACTACACCGATTTCAAGAACTGTTTCAATCGTCGCCAAACCTTTAGCGGTTGAGCGAAATTGTCAATTTCCGACAAGATAAATCACTACATTCAAAATGCTCCAATGGTATCCCGAAAAAATGAGCAGAAAACGAGGTGGAGGCAAACATCTCGACGACGTGCGGATTTACACAAAGTCACGATTTTTTTTGGTTAATGCTAAGGTTGTAATCATAAGAACAAATTTTGCAGCTTTTTTGAAATCTGATGGAGAATATCCGCGTGGGCGTAGAGTTCTTTATCGCGGAAGCAGGCCCGATAGCACTACAATGACGACGCGCTATTCGCTTCACGCAAAGATACAAAGTAAAACAGATGAGCAGGACGAAAGATAGCACAGTTGACAAAAACATCAAAGAGATCAACAGAGCTAGTTTCAATACAGGATTTACCAGACACTGGTGATCTCTTTCTGCAAAGAAAGCTTTTCTTCCTGGAAGTAATCCACGGAAAACAGAAAGAAGAAGCAAGAATGTCCATAGGCAAATACTGGTTTTCCCAGCCAATTTCGGAAATTCCAAAATCTAATTTGTAAAATAAATTTCGATTTAGCGTAGCTTTTGAACGACTTAAAATCTGATTTCTTTTTCGCAATAACAAGCATTCAACGTCGTTTTGCATCCTTCAAATAAATGAATGTGCATTACCTTTCCTTAATAAAGAGGTTGCAAATACGTGACTGGGATTTCGGATTGACGTATTCTTTGCCAATTACAAAAAAAAAATGTGCCTTCTTATTCGCTAAAAATCCAGGACCCTTCGGGAGTATTCATTTCCATTTGCTGTTATTTAAAATCGCAAAATATATTCAATTTGATTAGAATATGCAAGGCTACACAAATCGCAACACCACAAAAATGTTATGTTACTCCTTTATGGTGTGTTTGTTATCAAACTGCATATAAAAGAATTCAGGTTTCTGACTGAAACGCAGCGCAAGAAGGAAGGTTCCCCCAGCGCCAGGTTTCCTCCAATAGTCGGTAGTTTCCACTCACAACATGAATGGTTTATTTCAATCATGAATATTCAAAAATTTACCGATCAATTAAACACTTCTAAGAATGTCACTTTTCTTAGCACATAAACAAATTCTAATTCTTGACTAGGCATAGGGCCTACGTTAAATAAAACTTCGCGTGAAATCGCCTAGGCATTTTACGAAGTCAAACTTCATAGAAGCCACCAGGCCTATATTGTCAAATATCACTCTAGGTTCACAAACAGGACACAAGCGCCTCCTATTAAGAGCAGAAATACCGGTACGTTATGATGGCGTTCACGAGGCAAACGCCATTTTAAACCGGCCAGTAATTAGGACTTGACGAGACATTCAGGGGAACATACTTGAAAACACGAACAGCAAGATCTGACGTAGACTCACGCAGTGAGCGATATCATGAAGACTTGAAGGCCGTTTCGGTTCTTCCAGTCAAGTGCTGTCCAATGAACAACCAGATTTGTGAGAGTTGGGAGCGACATTACGAACAGTTTGGCAAGAATCTGAAATGCTTTCTCGTCAAATGACTCCCGCTCATTATTGCCTACATTTTGAGCAAAATCGCTCACACGTCTCCCTGTACTGCTCTTTAATCTGATTCTGAAATACGTACGTGAAGGTTCCGTTCGCCTAAGCATGGCAAAGATTGATATGTTACACTCCAATTAAATTTAGTGATAAAACAAAAACTAACGTTACCAAGGAAATGAGGCAGAGACGTTAAAGGTAACAAACAGTCGTGCTTTCGCTTCAGAACAGCGTATCGAGTGACAAATCATTTTCTCCAGTTGATCTTTTGGAGTAGACATAAAGTGAGCAAACACCGAAAATTCTAGATGTTTGCCGTGACTTTTCCATTTTTGAGGTAGCCAGAAATGCATTTTTGACGGTGCAAATTGATTCCATTTATTTTGATTATGAATGTGGAAAATTTTGTCACACTTATTATTTTACAATTGAGCAATGGGAATGTGATGTCTGAATGTTTACGAAGCAGTCTGTTGTACTGATAATTTACAGGAAGGGCCATGCACTGAAAAGTGATGTCTGGGTAATTATTTCCGCAGCACTCTATCGCAGAGATAATGGGACTGAGTCGATCGTATCTTGAAGCAGTAAGATATCGAATTGATGCATTGGCAAAAGTCATGCAGCTAGGTGACATACAGAAATGACACGATTCGTATTCAGGTTCATTTATAATGTACATTTGGAATCAATTTATGTTGACGTTGTACATCAAAAATGCATGTATTAAAATTATTGTTTATTTCACTTAATATTCCTTGACATTTCCTATAAAAAATCAGAGTTTCAAGCCACGCATGTTGTTACATTACAGATTTTCCCTCAGAATTTAATGTCTTTGACACTGTCATGTACTCGGGTTTTGTTGTGAATACGATGTAAACGGCTACAAACCACAAATACTGAAATGGTTTATGGCAACACAAACGATGCAAAAAGTATAAGGCATAATTTTGGACTGTGGGATAACAACTTTGTTAGGTAACTAAATCAATCCGCAAAACAGTTCGTACAGTTATTTCATACTTTGTGAGCTTGAAAACAATAAACCGATAAAAACGTCTGCTAGCTGTCCATGGTAATTATGAATTTGGAAATAGAATTTTTAAATGAAAGATAAAAAAGTGATGTTTGATTTTGCAATCTTCCACAATTCAAATAGATATCCACGAAATTGACAAGTGCGTTTACCCACTAATCAGTGAATAAGAAGTCATAAAATGTATTTGTCGTTTCAAAATTTAGTTAAAAGGGTTAGCCATTGCAATAAACGTACATAAAACGAGATTCAGTAATAACAGGATGCTGGGTGCAAGACTCTGTGGACAAAAATCCAAACATTACAAAAGGTACATCCTTGATGCTGCCAGGAACAAATTGCATGGAAGACACAGTAAACGCTACTGGCTTCCTCAAACGAACAAACTATTTTCTCCTGGAAAGTTTCATACTGATGAATACACCGAACCAGAAAAAAAGCTGTCTTTGACTGATAATGAGTACAATTATCACGATTGCACTTCTAATAACGAGTGACTTAAGTTTCATAAAATACACAAAGGATGTTTCACTTGAATAAAACTATCACCATTTTATACACGCCATTGAATCCATCAGGGCGAAGGGAGAAAGTGAACACTGTAACAATTTGCATCCATGCAATTGATGATGATCTCTCCCTTTTTTTTTTACATGTATGGCTAGTGCAAGTACTGTAATATTATTTTATTTTTATACAGCGCAATATCTTGGCAGACTTTGTAACTTGATTAGGGAACTAGTCCAACGTGAATGCGTCTGATCAAGTTGCACTACATAGTTCTCCAATCAAGTTATTAAAATGATAAAACCAAGGTGATTTTGGTGTTCAGTATTATCTAGTCGAAGCAAAACTATGAAAAATGAATTGAATCTAATATGTGTTACGTTTTAAGGCCAACAGCAAACGTCATATGACTTTTTGGAAAGTATCACCGTTTTCCATATGATCAAATTACAATACATATACTTAAACTGTTTTCTGATCCTTGCTAATACATGTGTTCCTTTTATATTTTTCACCTGTATCTATTCCACTGATGCCAATTACACGCATCAGATTTTCATCTAGATTTTGGCCCAGATTTTCATTTAGACCAAACCAACGTCCAAATAAATCGAAGTCTCCAAGCCAATATCTCTGGCCATGTAGTCATTTTGTACGTTTATTGGTACATATACGAACGAAACTTCTTACATCAAAAGGGAAGTGAACCTAATGATGAATCCGCACCTGCGATTTCTCATGAGAAGTGTAACTCTGATGCATCTTTAGTTGGACAACATGACACCTGATCGCATTCAATTTTACGTGTGCTTTAAAGCACACTGTACATGATGTTGTATGAAACATGATATTAACTGTTTCATTACCGCAGGTTTCAATCCACGACCTTCGCAGTCTTCCCTATGCTTAAATTTCGGCATCTTCTAAATTTCTGAATATTTTCCCCTTTAACGAGTCACTATACATGTACATGCATTCCTCTAATTATACAAATACATACAAAAATTATACATATCTATGTTTTGGAATTTTTTTAATTCATTGCCACTTATGAAAGCTTTTCAAATATACAGGTCCAGCAGAGAATCAATAATACAGGTAAAATATTTATAACGAATCCTGGCGCATTTTGTGCAATTCATAAGCTGCTCCTCATTCTGAAACCAAGAAGCACATGCTTAGAGCATACTTTATAGCTCCATGTTTAGAATGAACAAAACTAAACATTACATAACCCTACCGAATCTCAGCATCACTTTACAGGCTGTAAGTAGGCAGGAAAAGTTATTGAATACAGGGGCATTCTCAAAGTGAAAAAAAAAGAAACATTAAGATGTATACAGCCAAATATTCAGAGAGGATCCTCTCATAAGTGTACATCATTATTAGGTTACAAGGACCACTACTGATCACATTAGGAAAGTTTCAAAGGTATCATTTGTTACCGGTACTGTTGATGCCCTAGGAGTCAACCTTAAACAGCTTTTGGAGTTCCATTATATTCCTTCTAGATTGTGTCTTACCTAACTGAAACCTTGACTGACGCTCGTAGGAGGTAGACTTTGGTAGCTGATCTATGTGCAGTTAGCTAGGATGATTCTCTTTCTTTAAGCCTGTAGTTCAATTTGATGATGCCTGTGTAGACTATGGAGGTTTAGGTCTGGAAACACCTGTCACTGATTTGATACTCTTACTCTGAGTCCAGTGAAGACATTGATATTTGGCTTATTTCTTCTGAAACTTTAGGGTACCATCTCAGACATCTGTTCTTTGTCATATACATGTACAATGAATCAAGATTGAAGATGACATAAAAAGGCTATTTTTAAGGCTATTTGATGACCTGTTGACCTCATTTAAAGAGGTAGAATATTCCTTTTCTAAGAATGTCCAATCACTCATCTCGGACCAGATTGATGTTTTTGTTGCTCCTTGAGAAGCCTAGCAATTTCCTGACCAAGGGTTTCTATATTTTCCTGGAAAGAGAAAACAACAAATAGTGGGAAACAAGAAAATCTAGCCTAGCTTAATTTTAATATTCGGTTTTCCATACATGTTTCAACTTGTCAGATTAGGAATGAGACATCTTTGAATTCTAGTGATTTGTGGATGACATCTTAACCACATCTCTGATGAGTTGGAATTCCAACCTTTAAAGTAATGTTCTTCAACAGAGTATCCTCAAGCACTGCTTGCAGTTTACGATTGATCTCCAGTGAAAGGTCAAGGGTCATTGTTGGGTCAGTGGACTGTGAGCGGTAGAGAGAAGACATAATGCCACCTTGCTTGGAGATCTGGGCCTGCAAGGTGGGAGCAAGACAGGGAGCTTATGGTGAATGAATGTGCAAAATGTGACCACTGCTATTCCAAAACCAGGCTGGAGGTTTGTTAATTATTATCTGGAAAATGATACTAGCATACACATGAACAATACCAATTCAACAACTTTCACTCCCTCTAACTGCTAAAGTTTTCTGTGAATAAATATGCATTATGCATCACTTTGAAAGTGAAAACTAATGGTGGGGAGAGGAATTATCAAATATCCAACTACCTACTTCGGCCTGGTTTTCGAATAGTGCATCACAAATAAATGACATCCAAGTTTACAAATATTAAGTGAAATCAAAGAAGATACCAGGGCTGGGAGACAGAAAAGGAAATGATTCAAAACTGACCAAGTGTAAGGTCAAAGTGGGAAGAGACTCACAGTAAATGCTACGGATTGAAGAGGATTCTGTAGCAAATTGATACAGGGTAACCAGTAGTCAATGAATAAAGTGTTGGAAAAATGGAACAAACATGGTTTAATGAAGAAAACTTGTCAATTAATCTCTAAAAATTATCATTAATCTTTATACTACATGTACTGGTTAAAAGTTATGCTCAATGTCAGCTTTTGTCTCGTTTCATTAAGTGCAAGGGAGCTAGTCACAACAAAACTGTCAAAACAAAGTTAAGAGAAAAATACATGTACATCAGCACATTAACAAGGTCATGTATAAACAAAAGACATCTGAAGAATGGTTTTAATATTTGGCAAAAGAGAAGCGACACAATACGAAAAGATCACTGCAATGATCAGCCACAGGTTAAGGCATCTAACAAAGTGAGAATTCCATTCCGGGAATAAAATCTTCATGCTTTGAATGAAAAAAGAAGAACCTACGCTAAAATGTTTCATATCAAGCATTTTTGCAAACAAGAAATTGTTGTAAATGTAGGAACCAATTTTAGGATGTGACTCAAAAAGTAAAAACATTCTCAAAGAGTAGGACCTCTTTTACTGAATACAAGAAGCAGAATTTAAAGAATTCCTTGACTCAAACAAAACCCAGCCACTTTCAAAACAACTAGCAATTCTGCTTCAAGCTTTTCTAATGTTTACTTGTGTTATTTCGTAAAACAAAAACAAGCAAAACTGAAAGTTTGTGAAAGCAGAGCAGATGAATAAACAGCCGTGCAGATAAGGAGGTTCATTCAGTGATCAGGGAATTCTTACCATAGTGCTTCGTAAGCCTGATGAAGGCTGAAAAGAATGGAAGCATGACAGCAAAGGAAAATAAAGCAGCATTTAATTGGAAAAGGTAACAGAGAAAGAAGATGCAACTGTGATCTTTTACTTTCATAACAAACTGTTGGAAGGATCTGATTTTTTGGTTTGGAGAAGAGCAGTGAAGCAGGTGATTTTTTGGCAAGGCAAGGGTGAAACCAAATGAGTTCTAAATCAATGTGAAAAAACTCGACTCAACAAGACCTCCACAAATACATGTACATGTATTTGTATATGTATACACATTCTTGCCTTTTGCAAATTATGAAATTAGTTCCAAAGTGAAAATGAAAGTAAGGTCAGTGGATTAGTATGACTTGGGTGACAAAAATGGCTCCAATCATTAATTTAGACACAATGATAATTCATGAAACCCAACCAAGTGTCTCACACCTACCTTATTGACATCACTGGATACTGGCACCAAAGCACCTGCTTCATCTCTCATTATATACTGCTGGATAATCCTGCAAAAAACAGAAACAAAGAAAACTAAACTAAGAAAACTTTCTATCTATGAACAACCTGTTCAGATTTCCCTCCTATTAGCATCTCACTAAGGTTTACACCAGAATATTTCCAATGTAAAATCCCATGCTTTGATACATTTTGGGCACCAATGGATACATACAGAATTTCCTATCACAGAAAGAGTTAATAAATACCCATTATTAACGATGGCATACCAATGCTTCGCATGAAACTTTGCACTGAACAAAGTGAGTAATGGCTTTACAACAATCTTACTTGGATTTCTTCTTGAGTTCTTCTACCAGGTGGGTTATGTGTTCTTGCATAAATTCCATCTTTTCATTCTTCCGTTGGTGAGCTTTCTGTAGTCGTACAATACGGTCAACTAACATTCCTTTGTCAACACCAGGGTAATCATTGCCAGTAGCAATTGCAACTGTAGGATCCTAAAACAAAATATACACATGTAAATCCAAATAAGAAATATTGTCAGTCAGCAAATTAAAAAAAACAGAAGCACAATTTCAAAAAGTGACACAGGAATGATAACTAGGATTGCATATGAGAAATACATGCATGACAATCTTTTATTTGATATCATTGTCAGCTGAATAATAATGCTCATCATTCCTCAGTATATTTCAACAGGCTCTGTGCAGAACAAAGCCCTGTACCTCTTATGAGTGACTGCAAGTCACTGCCAATGACATTATAGATCTTCATGGTGACCTGTAACCTCACCGATTGAGCTTTCAGACACATGCATTTGTAACATTAGTAGATACAGCTTGACTGTGACTAATGTAAAACCTTTACACTCTCCTTAAAGAAGGCTTTTATGAGTAGACAATATATGCCACAGCAGGTAGGGCAACAGGCTTCATGTGATTTCACTGTAAATATATCATTAGTATGACTTACATGAGTGGCAGTATGTTCCTCTGGTTTGAGGGATGCTGGCGTACTAACTGAAACTGATGACCCACTTGAATTGACAACACTAGGAGCAGAGCCTGGTAGTGTATCTAATGATCCAGAACTACTTGTACGGGAACCAACACTGATGTTATCACGAGATGGATTCTCAGATGAATCAAGAGATTCTAAACGTTTGTGTGCTTGCTGTAACTGTCTTGTTAAATCCTGTTGAATCCCAAAAACATTTGAATTATACCTGAAATTTCCATTTGAACAGGGAATTTTAAATCTATTTATTTTAAGCTATTC